GGGATAAACATCAAGGAAGAGGAGCAGAGGGGGTTTGATCCCAAAACTGGGGAGCCCAGGGAGGAGTTTCCAGCTCCTCCAGCTGCACCTGGTCCAGGGGAGCAGGAGGGGAGGACAAACTGTCCTGAGTTCACCTGTGTGCTGCCCTGAACCCCTGGAGAGAACATTTATCCCTGGGATAACTGGATTCCAAGAAATTCGCGGCAGGAATTTACGCAGGAGAAACGTCGGGAAGGCTCGTTTGGAAAGGGATTTCCTGGCAGTGCTTTTAGAGGGATTAAATCCTGCAGGGCCACGATAACCTCGACCTCTTCCTTCCAAACCCTGGGTCTGGGAGCTGCCCCTGGGGGTGACACTGGATCTGATTTCCCTCGGGGGCTTCTCTTGCTCCCAGAACTCCCCAAATCCCCTCAGGGCTCCAAGTGTGGCCAATTAACGTAAAAAAAGGGATGGGGGGGGAAAAAAAACCCCAGAGCTGATCCAATTGATTTCAGGAGGTGTTTGAGCATGGAATGAATTCCAGCTGCTCTGTGCAGTTCAATCCTCAGGGATTGTAAGAGCAGTGAACAGCTCAGGTTGGTAAATCCCATCCTGGATGTTCCCAGTTGGTCACCAGGGCAGGAATTACATGGGAAAAAACATCTATTTTTGTTCCTTTTTGTTAGTGAATGAGATCCTGCAGGAAGAGAGATTTTGTTGTGAAAATGGGCCAATTAGTGCAAAAAAAAAAAAAAAAAAAAAGAGGTGAAGAAAAAACCTCCAGAGTTGATCCAATTGATTTCAGGAGGTGTTTGAGCATGGAATGAATTCCAGCTGCTCTGTGCAGTTCAATCCTCAGGGATTATAAGAGGGGTGAACAGCTCAGGTTGGTAAATCCCATCCTGGATGTTCCCAGTTGGTCACCAGGGCAGGAATTATGGTGGTAAAACATCTATTTTTGTTCATTTTTGTTGGTTAATGATCTTAAATGAGAGATTTTGTTTTGAAAATGGGCCAATTAGTGTGTAAAAAAAAAAAAAAAAAAAGAAGTGGATGGGGGGGAAAAAAAACCCCAGAGTTGATCCAACTGATTTCAGGAGGTGTTTGAGCATGGAATGAATTCCAGCTGCTCAATCCTCAGTGACTGGAAGAGGAGCTCTGGGTGAACAGCTCAGATTGGTGAATCCCATCCTGGGTGTTCCCAGTTGGTCACCAGGGCAGGAATTACATGGGAAAATCATCTATTTTTGTTCCTTTTCGTTGGTGAATGAGATCCTGCAGGAAGAGAGATTTTGTTGTGAAAATGGGCCAATTAGTGTAAAAAAAGAAGAGGTGAAGAAAAAGCCCCCAGAGTTGATCCAATTGATTTCAGGAGGTGTTTGAGCATGGAATGAATTCCAGCTGCTCTGTGCAGTTCAATCCTCAGGGATTATAAGAGCAGTGAACAGCTCAGGTTGGTAAATCCCATCCTGGATGTTCCCAGTTGGTCACTAGGGCAGGAATTATGGTGGTAAAACATCTATTTTTGTTCATTTTTGTTGCCTGCAGGATGAAAGGGTTTGGGTTGGAATGTGGTTTTCACTGGGATGAAACACTTTTAGCACCTTTTATCTCCTTTTTCCTGGTCCTGGACAGCAGGGAATACACAGAGTGGATGGTGCTGAGTGTGTTAAATTGGAGCAAATTCTGAATTTAAATGTGATTTTTGGTTCTCAGCAGGGCACGAGGTTTCTGTGTCTTAGAAAGATAGAAAATCTATGAAGATATATATATGAAAATAGGCTTTTTTGGTCAATCTTCTGTCCTAGACCATCCCCAGTTTGAGGAAAAAGAAGGTTGTTACCTTCCAGCTTTTGGCCATCAGCAGTTTCAGACGTTCCTGTATCCAGGAATTTTGCATCCAGGTGGCAGTTTTTAACAGCTCCTGGTGGATTTGCTAATTTAATAATTCATTAAATTGTCTGATGTTCTGTTGGATCCACTCTGGGATTTGCTTACAGGAATTGTGCTGCATTTTCACCCCTCCTTGTTCCTCCTGGAGCTGAAATCCTGCAAAACCAGAGGAAAAGGGGGAAAATGTGGTGCTGAACAGTTAAAATTTCTCCAGCAGCTGGAAAATTTTCCAGCTGTGGGTCCTGTCCCACCTGCTGCCCCTTGAACCCAAATCAGAGCCATCCCAGTGCCTGATAAAGCAGATTATTCCCAATCCCTGGGGATCACTCAGCCTGGTTGTACTTCCCAAGCCTCAATCCCTGAGGATTCCTCACTGGAATTCCTTGGCAAGGGCTGGAAAGGAGGGTTGGGGACAGGAGGGGACAAATTCAGCCCCACCAGCTCAGCCCAGTTTGTCTTGGGTGTTTGATGGGAGTTATTCAGCATTGGGTGTTTAATGTTTAATTAATCTGGGGATTAATTTTCCTGCAAATCTCTTGGGAACAGATATCTTCAAGTAGCAGGATGGAGTGAAAATCTATATATATATGTGTTTAAAACCACGTCTCAGCCTCTTTGCCCAAGAAAGACGTGCCTTAAATACACTTTTACCACGAAAATCAGTTTTCCTGGGGGGAGAGGAGAGAATCTGGAGTTGGTTTTGGTGGGTCTTTAAAGGTCTGGCAGGAAATTTAAGAGCTGTATCCCAGTTGTGCTGCCCGGCTCCAGGCACAGCACCTGGAGATTCACCTCCTTTGCTGGGAATTGCAGGCCTGGAGGCTGCACATCCCTGGGGCTGGAGCTGCCCTGCTCCCGGGGCTGAATCCTGGGAATGCCTGAGGCCGGAGGGGAGAAATCCCGAGGATTGGTGGGATCACTGAGGGGCTGGGCAGGAATGCCAGCGGGCTCTGCCCCCGGGGCTCCGTGTTTCCCAGGAAATCTGAACTGGGGGATGTTGCTTTAACTGTGGACGGGCCAAACATCTGGGAAGGGGCGGCTTTGTTGTGCATTAACGTGGTTTGGGAAGTGACTCCCACCTGGATTTAATCCAAGGACACGACAAACTAACTCCTGTTTTCCTCGGAGTGCCCTTATCAGACCGGCCCCTCCCTCTGCCTGTCCATCCCCACTCGAGCTGCTCAAACATCCCTGGCCCTTCCCAGAGGAGCTCGATGGGAAAGGGGTTCTGGCTTTATTTTTATTTATTTTTATTTATTTTTATTTATTTTTATTTATTTTTATTTATTTTTATTTATTTTTATTTATTTTTATTTATTTTTATTTATTTTTATTTATATTTTTATTTAATTTTATTTTATTTATTTTTATTTAATTTTTATTTTATTTATTTTTATTTTCATTTATTTTTATTTCTCTTTATTTTTATTTTTATACTTATTTTTTATTTAATTTTTTATTTTTATTTTTATTTATTTATTTGGTTTTATTAATTTGTTTTTATTTGGGTTTATTTGGGTTTTTTTATTTGGTTTTATTTGGTTTTAATTTTTTTATTTGGTTTTATTTGGTTTTAATTTTTTTATTTGGTTTTATTTGGTTTTAATTTTTTTATTTGGTTTTATTTTTTTTAATTATTTATTTTTATTTGTTTTATTTTATTAACCCTCATTCTGTCACTTGGAGGGAGTTTTGCTGGAGAACCAACCGGCCTCCAGCTGGTTCACGTTCCTGCCTTTGCAAAATGAATGAACTCAGAAAGGAGTGGAGGAACCTTAATCCTGGAGAGAAAGGGCTTGGGGAGTGCAAGGAAATCCTGGAATGCCAGGATGGTTTGGGTTGGAAGGGCCATTGAAGATCATCCCATCCCACCCCTGCCAGGGGCAGGGACACCTTCCACTGGCCCAGGGTGCTCCAACCTGACCTTGGACACTCCCAGGGATCCAGGGGCAGCCACAGCTTCTCTGGCAAATCCATTCCAGTCCCTCCCCACCCTCACAGCCAACAATTCCTTCCCAATATCCCACCTAAATTTATCCTCCTGGAATAGTTTGAAGCCATTCCCTGTGTCCTGTCCCTCCATCCCTTGTCCCCAGTCCCTCTCCAGCTCTCCTGGAGCCCCTTCAGGCCCTGCCAGGGGCTCTCAGCTCTCCCTGGAGCCTTCTCTTCTCCAGGGGAACTTCCCAGGGTGATGTTCCCAATGGCTTTTCCCTGAGTTTTTGGGATGCTGTCACCTCTGCCTGGGGCATCCCCCCTCTGGACTTTTGTAGAGCCTGAAGGTCTCCCCGAGGAGGTGGAATTTGCACTGGAATGATGACGACAGGTTGAAATCCTTAAGAGGAGAACATTCCTTGCTCCAGTATTATTTCCTAGGATCTTTTTTCCTCATGGATTGGGGCGCTCAGCTCCAAACTTGCTGCCTTTTTGCACCTGTGTGACGGGAGCAGCTGCTCCTTTGCCGTGGATGATTCCAGGCGGTGCCTCGCGGGAAGCGTCGCTCGGGAAAACTGGGATTGCAGGGAAAACTGGGAGTCACCAGGCAAGGCTGGAGAGGAAGGGCCCCTCAGCTCAGGAAGGACATGGAGGGGCTGGAGCAGGGCCAGGGAAGAGCAACAAGGCTGGGGAAGGGACTGGAGCACAAGTGCTGTGAGGAGAGGCTGAGGGAGCTGGGGGGGCTCAGCCTGGAGAAGAGGAGGCTCAGGGGAGACCTCCTCACTCTCTGCAACTCCCTGACAGGAGGGGGGAGCCGGGGGGGGTTGGTCTCTTTTCCCAGCCAACCATCAGCAAGACAAGAGGGCTGGGTCTGCAGCTGTGCCAGGGGAGGGTTAGGTTGGACATTAGGAAGAATTTCTTTGCAGAGAGGGTGCTCAGCCATTGGAATGGGCTGCCCAGGGAAGGGGGGGATTCTCCATCCCTGGAGGTTTTTAAGATGAGACTGGATGTGGCATCAGTGCCATGGGCTGGGAACCACGGCGGGGTTGGATCAAGGGTTGGGCTGGATGATCTCAGAGGTCCCTTCCAACCCAGCTGATTCTCTGATTCTCTGAAGCTGTGGGTGCAAAGAACATTTCGCCCTCAGCCCAAGGAATTCTGTGTCCTGCTGAGCTCTGCCCCTCTCTCCCCCCGTGCAGGTGGACGCCGACGATGTCATCACCAAGGAGGAGCAGATCTTCCTCCTGCTGAAGGCCAAGGCCAAGTGTGAGCGACACCTGAAAGCCAAGGTGCCCAAGGTGCACGGTGAGTGTTCCCACAGCACCCCAGAATTCCAAGGCTGGGCCCCTCCCGTGGGGAAAAAAATTCCTCTTTTAAATGTAGAAAGACAAAGCAAGGGATTTATTCGGCACGCTGGGTCTTTATCTCGCAGAGTTTCTGGGAGGAAAAAGACCCTTTGGGTTTAAATTCTATACATTTTATAGTTTCACAAAATCCCACCCTTTTCAGGTGAATTTAATATATTCATTTTTTGCCTAAAAATGTTTCTTCTCCCTGAAGATCGGCTGCAAGGAGTCCTCTGTCAAAAATGATGGATCTTCCTTTGTTCTCAGCCCAAAGAGAGGGAAGAAACCCCCCATGTACAAAATTTCTACGTGGCCCTGAAAGATTTTAGTTTTTAGGAACTTTTACATTTCCCTTATCCGGCCAAAAAAGACCCTGACACCCAGTCCCATTTGGAACTTGGATATCTTACAGCTTTGTGATACTCCCATATATAAAACCCCATATTTTATCTCTCATACCTCTGTGCCTGCCCCAGCCCTTCCCCTCAGCCCCACACATGAAGCTCGGCGGTGGGAGAACCCCAAAATATTGGGTTTGGGGAAGATCTTTCAGCAGAGGATGTTGGGAAGCAAAGTTGTCACAGCTGTCTTGTTCTTCTGCAGCAGAATTCCAAATGCCAAAGGGTCAGGAGGGTGCAAAAGTCATGGGATTGTACCCAAAGCCCAAGCAGTGCATGGGAGGGAACATCAGCTCTGCCAAGATTAGGGAATCCTGGAGTGGTTTGGGTTGGAAGGGACCTTAAGGATCATCCAGTTCCACCCCCTGCCATGGGCAGGGACACTTTCCAGTGTCCCAGATTGCTCCAACCTGCCCTTGGACACTCCCAGGGATCCAGGGGCAGCCACAGCTTCTCTGGACAATCCATTCCAGTCCCTCCCCACCATCACAGACAAGAATATTTTTCCTAATATCCAACCTAAATCTATCCTCTTTCAGTTAAAGCCATTCCCTGTGTCCTGTCCCTCCATCCCTTGTCCCCAGTCCCTCTCCAGCTCTCCTGGAGCCCCTTCAGGCCCTGCCAGGGGCTCTCAGCTCTCCCTGGAGCCTTCTCTTCTCCAGGGGAACCCCCCCAGCTCTCCCAGCCTGGCTCCAGAGCAGAGGGGCTCCAGCCCTGGCAGTATCTCCAGGGCCTCCCCTGGACTCCTTCACCAATCCAAATTCCAAAGATCCTTCCCAACCAGCCCCCAGTGGTGCAGAAAAGCCTCCCTCCAACACCCCTTCTGCGTTTCCCTCTGCCAAACACTCTCTCTCTTCTCCTCAGAAGGGTCCAAGCTCAGCTCAGCCTCTTTCTTCCCCTTCCCTTCTCTCTTGGGCTGCAGATCCGCTCCCGGCTGTGGGGCTGGAGGAGGAGCAGGAGCAGCTCTCTCTGTGGGAAGCCCAGTAATCCCCCCACCCCCGTGGGGTTCTTTCCTCACTCCCATGTGTTAATGACTTTAATGACTGGCACTGGGGCTCGGCTGGGCCACCCCACCCCACCCAGCCAGTCCCGGGGGGGCTCCTGGCCCCTCTCCCTCTATTCCCTAAGAGAAGGGGACAAACCAGAATCCCCAAATCCAGCCCTGACCCCAGAGCAGAGTTCCCTGCCCACCTGGTGTCCCTCTCCCGTTCGACACGGCAGCAAGAGGCCCCAAAATCCCAGCTTTCCTTTGATTCCCAGCTTCCTGCTTCCCATCAGCCAAACCCTCAAGCCACATCCTCTGCTGCTGCTTTGTCCCGTTCACCCGCTGCCCAATTAACACCTCATTAAAAACGCACAGAGGCATTTCCTTCTGTTGTCCCCGGCCCACCTGCCCACCCCGGGGGCTGGGGACATCTGAGAAACACCAGCTGCTCCAGCTTTTCCCTACATTTGGTATTGATCCCTCCTTAATCGTCAGGAGCAGTTCGGGGAGGGATGAGGAGCTGGATGTGAGTGACAAGCAGATTTTGGGCTCTGTCCCAAGGAGAGCAGAGGATCCAACCCCAGGGGGCTTTAGGTGCTGTTTTGAGACTGGAGCAGAAGGAAATCTGAAATGTTGTCATTCAGTCTCGTGGACACAAGTCCTGCCTTGGGAAAAAGATGTTCAGGGATTAAAGCTCCGGCTCCATCCAAGGAGGAATCACCCTGATGGCAACACCCTGGGCAGGAAGGTGATGAGAGAAAGACTTCAATCAATCATTCAAGTAGGTAATTAGATCCAATTCATCTGCGAGATCCAAAAGGCAGAATGATTTCTGATTGAACCTTTCCCAAGGAATGTTTCCTTAGGCTGGAACACCCCAGAAATTCCTGCTACCGCTTCACGGACGGGGCAGGGAGCTGCCAGACATTCTCTGGGATGGTGGAAGGAGGGTTTTTTGGTTTGGAAAAGTTCTTCCCACTTTGCAGAAGAGCCGCCATTCCCAGATTTTTAGGTTGCAGATGCCCTTGGACACTAGAAAAGCGGTTGCTCCGGTCCTTTCCTCCTTGGATGACGCAGGAACTGGGACCTGGTGTCTGTTCTGCTGACCCCTCAAGGCCAGGTGGGGCTGTCAGATGGAGGATCTCATCCCTTTCCCTCTTCCCTCACTCCAGACCTCGAGAAAAAAGCCTGGGAAAGGCAACATCACCTTCCCAATGGAGATGCATCAGCCCCCAGCTGCAGATCTCGGGGGCAGAGTGGTTGGGACCTGGAGCAACACCAGTCCTGGGGGTGCTTTCCAGCTCTCTCCTGTGTCCAAATCTCTGCTTGGTTTGTCATTCCAAAGAAGGAAAAAGGCCCAGCTCACAGCGAGGCAGCAGTTTTGGGGAGATCCTCAGGGAAGCACTTCCTGCTGCCATCCAAGGGAGAAACTTCTCCCGCCTTTTCTGCAGAGTTGTGGGGAGGGGGAAGGTCCACGCTCAGCTGGCCTTGAAGGAATCTGCCTGGAGAGCCAAGATCCTCCTGGGACCATCCTATCCCACATCCTGGAGCGACTCTGGTGGAGGGACAACCCTGCAGACAGGAAAAGCCAGTGAGGAAATCCCAGTGCTGGGGATGTTTGGGAAAGGAGAAAGTCCCTACTTAAAATCCCTGACCCAGGTCAACAAGGAGTGGCTTTGGCCTCGGGAGTCACGGCTCTCCGGGGAAACTCTTGACCACAAGGGTCACAGGAAAGGAGTCTTTGACCCCACAGCTGGTTTGGAGCTGCTCTGCACCAGATCCTGGAGCAAACTCTGCAACACGTGGAGCGCTTCCACATCCCTGCTCCGGGGTTTTATCCTGCACCCCCGAACCTCCAATGTTCCAGCTTGTGGGTGGAGAGAGAAGAGGAATTTGGGAGGTGAATCCATGGCTGTGGGCACCAGGGATGGTTCCAGGGACTGGGGGGTGCCCTTGTTCCAGACAGATCTGCTTCTCCAAGGAGCCTTCCAGGGACTTCTTCCTACAAACCTGCTCCCACCAACACTCCAAGCTCATGGAATCACAGGAATTGAGGCTGGAAAAGCCCTCCAAGACCATCAAGTCCACCCTGTGCCCACCTTGTCTCCTGGTGTCACCTCCAGGGATGTGACTCCACCCCCACGAACCCTCCCAGAGCCCAGTTTTGTTGTCACCAACCCTGTGACTTTCTTTGCTCCTTTGGATCCCCTTCAACACCCAAGGACTGGCAGAGTGGATCGACCTGAGGAAGAGCCTGTTTGGAGGAGCTTTGTTTTCCAGCTGGATCAGCCTCCTGATCCGCTTTGTCCTGCAGCCACAAAGCCAAGGGAGACACCCCAGGGAAAGGAGCAGGGCCAGGAGAGGAAGGTGTTGGCGGGAGAGGTGCCACATCTGCACTCTGCACATCTTCAGGTAACACTCTACAAGTGTTACCTGCAGAGCTCTGGAAAATCCCAGCTGATTTATCCCACTGCCTTCTCTCCTTGCTCCTGCTTCACATCAAGGGCTGTGTGTACCCACTCAGCACTTAAATTCCAAAAATTCCCACCTGGAATGGCTCCTGCCCCTGCCTGGCTGTGGCTGCAGCGCAGGGGGGTGATTTATTCACTCCATACCAGCCCCTGGTGGGTGTTTTTGGAAGCAGAGAGTGGGATTTGGGACACCTTGATATCTTTTTATGGATTTTTTTAGAGAGAGGGAAATGTCACTTGAGGTGGCCTGGAAGTTTGGTAGGGCTGGAATTCCCGGGAGCTGAGGCACAGGGATGTTCAACACCTCCCCTCCCACCTCCAAGGAGGGTCTGTGGTAGAGCCAAGCTTTGGATTCCAAGCTTTGGATTCTCCTCTCCTGCCTCCAAGCCACAAACCCACCTTTCCTTTTGTCCTGGAATTCAAGGTGAGGCTGCAAAGACTCCAATCCAGGTGGGCAGAAGCTGATGAAAATCCTCGGACAAATCCCACTGGAGTGGAACTCAACCCTCCCATCATCTCTCTCACTTTAAAGCCTCTGGATTTCTTTGGGGGTGAGGAAAACACATTTGGAACTTCCTGCAGTGCAGTGGGGACCTGGGTTTTCCTCTCCTTTGCCCATCACATCCCTGAGGGCGTTTCAGGAGCCCGTTGTTTTCCTGGGATAAACTGGCAGGTTCCCATCAGCTCAGTCAGGGCGTTGATTTGTCAGGGATTCACGGATTTCTCCGACTTTCTTCTCTTCTTAATATTCATTTAATTGACATTTTAATAAGGGAAAAATGCAGGTTTCAGAGGTATCCAGGAGTCTTAGTAGATGAGAGGAATTCTGGATCAGCACCTTGATTTTGGAATCTGCTCTTCCCTCTCTCACCTTGCGGCTCCATCCCTAAAGGATGGAAATCCCGGGATATAAATGGATTAATCAAAGTGAGGAAGACACACTGTGAGACCAGAACCAGGAGGGGAAAGGAGAGGGGTTTTTTTTGAGGAGAGGGATTCTGTGTGTCATCCTTCCAGCACACACCCGGATTTGGGAGGGAGAGACACCCCCCAAAAGTGGCTCTTGGAGTGGGAAATGTGATCCCACTCGTGCAGGGACTCCAGGAGCTCTTCCCAGAGCTCGAGTCACACTCCAGCACCCTCTGGAAGCAGGAAAGCCTTGATCTCCTAATCTTCCCCTTGGAATTGTCCTTTTCCCTCTGCTCACTTTTCCTGTCTCCTTTTAACGTGGCTGGTGGGGGGTTTTGGGCAGACATGTTCCCTGGCTTTCTTGGGTTTCATTTGGAAATGTCCTGGAATATCCACTGTCAAGTGGAGTATTCAAATGTTTGCTACCACAGATCAGCAAGATCTTGTTCAGTGGAGAGAAATCAGCTGTGATTTCATCACCTAATTTAATTTCTCTCATTTAATTGATTTATCTAATTTAATTTTTTAACCTCATTTAATTGATTTCTCTCATTTAATTGATTTCTCTCATTTAATTGATTTCTCTCATTTAATTGATTTCTCTCATTTAATTAGACGTGTCTAAGGCTGGTTGTAAGTCTTAAATCAGGGACTAAAGAACACGAGGGGGAACAGTAGATGTGCCAAGAATTTCTGGGTAGTGGGAACATGTTAGGGTTGAGAATCCAAAGGAAAGTCTCAGCAAAGAAAAAGGTAAAAAAAAAAAATCATAAAGTCCAAAATTTTTTTAGCAATAACGACCCACTTTTCATGTGTAAAAACCCCAAAGTCCCTTTTTTTTTTTTCCCCCTCTAAAAATGTTAAATTTTAACTTTAGGGGGGTTCAGTGGAGGTTGAGCTTCTTCTTCTCCTCCTGGGACAACTCACAGGGATTATTTGTCCCCAAGGGTGTCCCAGCAATGGGTTGTGACCCATGAGGTGACCTGGACAGCCCCACATGGAGCTGAGCCAACCCAATGAGCTCCCACCTGGGATTTGTGCGTCATCTGCTGCCTCTGGAAACCCAAAATATTCAAACAAAACAAAAAAAACCCAACACCCCAAACTCCTCCCCCTGCCAGCATTTGGTTTCCTTCTTCCCCCCCCCTTTTTTTTTCCTTAAATTTAGCTTCCAGATTAAAGCCTTGAAGAACAGGAAACCCTAAAATGTCTCTTCTCCCTCGCCAAATATTCCATTTGAGCCGTGCTGGGCAGGCCGATGCCACCCCAAAGTTAAAACCTGGAAGGGGATGAAGCGAAATTCCCACAATTCCCACCCAAAAAAACCAGCGAGACCTGAGGGGTGGACGTTTTATTTTTTTCACCTGTGAATTAAAAGCTTGTCTTTGCCCGGTTTGGAAGAGGAGATGGGACGTTTTGGGGGGGAAGAGGGAGGTTTTTCCACTGTTATTAGCGAAGGCCTCGCTCTGGGCCCGAGGTGTTGCCGTTCGCCTCAAAGTGGCTTGGGTGGTTTTTTTTTTTTTTAATAAACGAGCTTATTTGCCAGGGAAAGGGGTTATTTTAATTGAAGATTTGTGTGTGTTTACCCAAAATGGGTTGGTTGGGCATCTCAGTCTGTGCCCATTGTCCCTAAAGGCCCCAGGCCCTGGCCCAGGCTCTCTCTGGGATGCGGAACCCCCCGATCTCTCAGCATTTCAGAGCACGACATCGGGACCAACATTCTCCCCCTCGCTGTTGTTTCTCCCCAGTGCTCATTTCAAACTTTCCCCTGACTCATTTATTCTGTCCCAAAGAATTGGGTTTGTTTTCAGCGAGACCACGTCGAGGCCTAAATTAAATATCTTTACTTACTTTCTCGTCTGCGGGAAAAGACCTCAAAAAACAATAACACTTTGTCCTAATCCAAATTCTGTGGGGCCGTTGTCCCTAAAGGACTCAGTTTGTGCCCATTGTCCCTAAAGGCCCCAGGCCCTGGCCCAGGCTCTCTCTGGGGTGCGGAACCCCCCGATCTCTCAGCATTTCAGAGCACGACATCGGGACCAACATTCTCCCCCTCGCTGTTGTTTCTCCCCAGTGCTCATTTCAAACCTTCCCCCGACTCATTTATTCCGTCCCAAAGAATTGGGTTTGTTTTCAGCGAGACCACGTCGAGGCCTAAATTAAATATCTTTATTTACTTTCTCGTCTGCGAGAAAAGACCTCAAAAAACAATAACACTTTGTCCTAATCCAAATTCTGTGGGACGCTGCGGGTTTGTTTGTTTGTCTTGTTGCCTTTTTTTTCTTTTGAACCTTCCAGAGAACTGAAAAACAAATAAACTGGGTTTGCACAGTCTGAGTTATCCTGCAACATAAGGAGCCAAAGGGAAGGGCTTTCCCACTTCTCATGAATAGGAAATGTAATATTATTCTTCTCCTGTTGCGACTGGAAGCCGGGAAAACGCAATAAATTTCGATTTCTTTTTTATCTCAGGGGTGCTGAGGAATTTTAGCTCCTCTCCCCTCGCTCCCAGTTGGTGCTTTGGAAGAAAGGCAGGGATTAATCCGCTCCTTTCCATCCACATTCTAATTTAAAGATTAGAAATCAGCTGTTTGGCCGCGAGTTTTCCTGTTGTTTTTCGCATCCTAAAATCCCAGTAAAGGGAATTATCAGCGGCAGCTCCAAACCAGGCCAAGCAATCCTGGATTGTTCCTTTAACCTTGGGAAGGCACGTTCCTGCTGAAGGATGAATGGTTGGTTGGTTGAAAGGTGGGGAAGGTTTTGATATTAATGAAACCTGCTGAGATCTTGGCCCTGCTGCTGGTTCTGTTCCCGGGGGAGCTCTGGTTTGTTTGGATTCCCAGGGAATCCTCTGCCAGGCACTGCTGACAAACCCCTCCCTGAACTCAGCCCAGGGAAGATGCTGCTCTGGAGGCAGAGTTGGGGCAGGTCCATCAGGTTGAGCATCTGAATTCCCACCCTCAGGTGGGTGCAGCTGGATTGGAAGGGGTGGCTGAAGGTCACCAAGGCCAAAGCAAAGGAGATTCCTGAGGACACGGAGCTGCAGGAGCTGAGAGGTCAGAAGGACCTCAAAGGGCTGCTCCAAGCCCTGTCCAACCTGACCTTGGACACTTCCAGGGATCCAGGGGCAGCCACATCTTCTCTGGGAATTCCATTCCAGTCCCTCCCCACGCTCACAGCAAAGAATATGTTTCCTAATATCCAACCTAAATCTACCCTCTTTCAGTTAAAGCCATTCCCTGTGTCCTGTCCCTCCATGCCTTGTCCCCAGTCCCTCTCCAGCTCTCCTGGAGCCCCTTCAGGCCCTGCCAGGGGCTCTCAGCTCTCCCTGGAGCCTTCTCTTCTCCAGGGGAACCCCCCCAGCTCTCCCAGCCTGGCTCCAGAGCAGAGGGGCTCCAGCCCTGGCAGCAGCTCCGGGGCCTCCTCTGGACTCTCTCCAGCAGCTCCACGTCCTCCTGCTGCTGTTCCGAGGGCTGGATGCCGCGTGTCCTTCCGAAATAAAACCTGGGAGAACCTGCACCTTCTGGAGCCAAACACTAAGAATGGCAATGATTTCCCAGGCATTTCCCAGTGATTTTCCCAGCAGTTTCTCAATGATTTCCCAGTGATTTCTCAGTGATTTCCCAGTGATTTCTCAGTGATTTCCCAGTGACTTCTCAATGTTTTCTCAGTGATTTCTCAATGATTTCCCAGCAATTTCCCAGTGATTTCTCAATAATTTCCCAGGGATTTCCCAGCAATTTCTCAATGATTTCCCAGGGATTTCTCAGCAATTCCTCAATGATTTCCCAGGGATTTCCCAGTGATTTCTCATTGACTTCCCAGTGGTTTCCCAGTGATTTCTCAAACTGAGCGACAGCACTGAGAGCTTTTCCCAGAGAGCCTTCTCCGAACAGTGGGACATCCGTGTCACCTCTGCAGGGTGCAGTGACTCCTCCTTGTCTTTGTTCTCTCCCCCAGATGGTTTTTGTCTCCCTGAGTGGGATGGCATCGTCTGCTGGCCCGAAGGTGTCCCGGGCAAGGTGGTGGCCATGCCGTGCCCCGAGTACATCTACGACTTCAACCACAAAGGTGGGTGTTGCCCTCAGGAAGGAGATTCCCGGCAGTCACAACATTCCAAACCACCTTTAACATCCCTTTTTCCTCACACAGCGACTCCCTTCCGAGCAGGAGCAAACCCAGGGGAAAGGAAGGAAGGAAAGGAACAGTTTGTTATTTGTTTCTGCCAAAAGAAAAGCTCGGTTTTAACTGAAACAGAGACAGATTTCCCACGTGTCCCACACAACCTGTAACCCTCCAAACACTAATGATTAGTATTTAGATATTAATATTAGTTTTAGATATTAATATTAGTGTTTAGATATTAATATTAGTTTTAGAGATTAATATTAGTTTTAAATATTAATATTCATTTTAGATACTAATATTAGTTTTAGATACTAATATTTGTTTTATATATTAATATTTGTTTTATATATTAATATCTGTTTTATATATTAATATTAGTTCTATATTAATCTAGTGGTTTAGGTATTAATAATTAATAACAACACAATAAACACAGCCTTCAGATTAAGTCCCAGAATCTCAGAATATGCTGAGTTGGGAGGGACCCACAAGGACCATTGAGTCCAACTCTTATCTTGGGTTTTCTCTTGCTACACAGAGTCTGTGGCATCAAACAAATCCAACCTTGTAAATACACAAAACTTGAACTCTGTGACCACTTCGAGCCTGACAGAGCTCAAGTCTTTGATTTTTTTTTTAATTTATTTTTTTTTACGTGATTGATTTTGATTTTTTGATTTGATTGATTTTGATTCTTTGGTTTGACTGATTCTGATTTTTTCATTTGATTGATTCTGATTTTTTATTTCATTGACCAACCTGGATTTGTTTGACACCACGACCCCTGGGTAACAAGAGAAACCCCAAGATATTCTTCCCATTTATATTCCTTGTTAATCCCAGTCCCTGCTCCCTGCCCAGAGCCCTCTCTGGGTGTCTGAGAGCACCAGGAGCAAGCAGAAGGTGGGAATTCTTCCCTATCTCCCTTCCCCTCAGGCAGCTCATTTCTGGGCTCTCCGGTGGTGCCCCGGAGTCTGGGGATGTTTGGAGAAGGGCAGGAACACATTTGTGTTCCCTCAGGGAATTTTCAGAGCTAGAGGACTCTCTATTCTCCCCAAGGAGGCAAAAATTAGGGAGTTAAGCCTGTCTGTTCTGAGCAGAGCACTGGTGCTGCTTTCAGAAAACAAGGAATGATAATCCCAGGAATCCTGGTTGCACATCCTGGCTTTTCTGTGAGGGACTGGGAGCTCACCCAGTTCACCCCCGACCTCTCACAGACCCTGCCCGTGCTCTTCACCTGAGAGACCAGGAGGAACAAGCTGCCATGGAATCATTGGATAGTTTAGGTTGGAAAAGCCACCTAAGATCAGAGTCCAACATCCCCCAGCACTGCCAAGGCCACCACTGACCACGTCCCCAAGTGCCACATCCACAGGGCTTGGAAATCCCTCCAGGGGTGGGGACTCCACCCCTGCCCTGGGCAGCTGTGCCAGGGCTGGACAGCCCTTTCCAAGAGGGAATTTTTCCCACTATTCCATCCAATCCTTCCCTGGTGCAATCCATCCCTTTTCCCCTCGATATTCCAACATGACATGGATTCCTTACCTTGCTGGGGTCCGTGGCCAAGTCAGGTGGTGTGGGAGTCAGATGAAGGGCCTCAGATGACAGAAACAAAGAACCCCAGACTGGTTTGGGCTGGAAGGGACCTTAAGGATCATCCAGTCCACCCCAGTGGACACCTTCCACTCTCCCAGGTTGCTCCAACCCGGCCTTGGACACTTCCAGGAATCCAAGGGCAGCCACAGCTTCTCTGGGCAACCTGTGCCAGGGCCTCCCCACCCTCCCAGCCAGGAATTCCTTCCTAATATCCAACCTAAACCTACTGCCTGTCAGTTTGAAGCCATTCCCAGTTTTGTTGTCATTCTAAGCCCTTGTAAAAGTCCCTCTCCATCTTCCTGGAGGGCTCCCAACAGCTCTCCCTCTATAGCCCCGGGGCAGACGGGTCTGTTGAGTGGTTTCATCCCTATTTTCTGTGAAGGGATTTTAACATACAGCTGATGCCCTGGTACCCACACAGACCTCTGAACGTGGATATTCCCATCTGCCAACTGTATCCCAGGAGGAAACTTTGCTCCCTCTTCTTCCTCCTTCACCACGAGGAGAGCAACCAGAGAAAAACCTCCCTTGAGATGACCCGAGCCTGTAAAGGAAGAGCAGCATCAATAAACCCCCTTTATTTCCTAGGGAGAACTGCAATTAAGTCCGAGGATGATTCCATGTTTTGGGGCTTTTCAAAGCTTCTCTCCTCGATTTTTAGACCCACTATCTGACCCTAATTAAAATGCTCTGTGGGGTTTCTCAGCCGGAAGGTCGATGAGGTTTCTGTGGAGATGGGAATCGGTTCTTGCAGCTGAGCTTGGAAGCGGGCAGGACACACCAGGACTGGGGGGATCCACCCCTGGAGTGGTTTTCTCCCGTTTTCCCAGGTCTGGGCCCTGACTCTGTGTGTCCCCTCTCTCCACAGGCCACGCTTACCGTCGGTGTGACCTGAACGGGAGCTGGGAGCTGGTGCCAGGCAACAACAGGACCTGGGCAAACTACAGCGAGTGTGCCAAGTTCCTCACCAACGAGACGAGGGAGAGGGTAGGCAATTCCCTTCGGGCACGGAGCGGGAACTCTGCCCTCACCCAGAATTCCTCACTTGTCTCACTTCAAACCCTCGATGAGCTCCAGCTCATCGGCCTCCTCTTGGAAACTAAGCCCGAGCTTGCCAAAGCCACGGCGGGTTTTGGTGGGGAATTACTTGAACTTGGAATTGTCCTCAAAGCCAGAAAGGCTCCAGCAGCCACCCTCCCACACACCCCCCCATTTCTAAAGGGATTTTGGGGGAATTGAAGCGGTCTCAGGGAGGCTCAGAAGTGGTTGGAGGTTGTTCCCTGCCACTGAGACTCCCCCTGCCCCATCAGGAAATAATTTTGCTACCAGGTTGTTATCAAAAATTCCAGTGTTTCTGTGGTTGGCTGTGGTGGGGGATGTCCAAACACAGAGGTAAAGGATGTGTCAGTCAAACCAGAGTCAAACCAGTCCAAACCAGGCTGGGAGAGCTGGGGGGGTTCTCCTGGAGAAGAGAAGGCTCCAGGGAGAGCTGAGAGCCCCTGGCAGGGCCTAAAGGGGCTCCAGGAGAGCTGGAGAGGGACTGGGGACAAGGGATGGAGGGACAGCACACAGGGAATGGCTTCAAGATGAGAGTAAATTTAGGTGGGATATTGGGAAGGAATTCCTGGCAGTGAGCATGGGGAGGGACTGGAATGGATTTCCAGAGAAACTGTGGCTGCCCCTGGATCCCTGGAAGTGTCCAAGGCCAGGTTGGAGCAACCTGGGCTAGTGGAAGGTGTCCCTGCCCATGGCAGGGAGTGGAATGAGATGATCATTAAAGTCCCTTCCTCAATCCCAAACCAAACTGGGATTCCATGATCTTGAATTAATAATGGTGTAGGCACAGTTTTGAAACAGGGCCATCAGTCCAAAGGTGAAAAGAGACTAAAAGCACATGGAGAGGGTTTGGTGGGCTCCTGGAAAACAAAAAAAAAAAACAGGAAGAAAAAAGAACTCTGGGCCTTAGTTTTGCAAAAATTTGGGTAATTGGTGAAGTAGGAGCTGGATGTGCAGGCAGGGCTCTGTGCAGGCAGCTGGAGATAAAGATCTGTGGAGAAGGACAGGGGATGATGCACAGGCCCGTCGGGAGGATGTTCCTCATTTGAAATCCAACCACAGCGTGCCCGGGGTTGGTTTTGGGTTGGGTTTTTTTTATTATTTTCTCTCCAGAGTGAAGCAACACATGAATGAAGCTGTTTAGTGAGGAAATAAGTTATTTGAGGACCTGCACGGCTTGTGTCATGTGGTCAAAGAACAGGCAAGGTTTTACACACAGGGTTCTGCTCCAGCAGAGTGTGTCATCTCAGGGTTGGATGATGTTCACTTCTAGAACAAGTTTGGGCTCATCTTTTCCCAGTTCATCCAGTGGGAAGAACTGTTTCAGCCCCAGAGTGTTCTGGGAAGGTTCTGGACTGGGTGTTGGAGTCATCGAGTGTCTTGATCACACTGAGCACTTTGCTGAGTTGTACAACTTCGTGACCTCTCTGAGGTCATTGTCTCTGTGCCACCTCCCTCAGCCCTGCCCTGAGGTGGGAGTCACCTGCTGCAGACAGAAGAAACACCATCAGTGGGTCAGGAGAGGGTCAGGTTGGATCTCAGGGAAAGGTTCTTCCCCCAGAGGCTGGTTGGGCACTGCCCAGGCTCCCCAGGGCAGTGGGCACAGCCCCAAGGCTGCCAGAGCTCCAGGAGGGTTTGGACAATGCTCTGAGGGACAGGAGAGGATTGCTGGGGTGTCTGTGCAGAGCCAGGAGTTGGATTTGATGATCCTTGGGGGTCCCTCCCAACTCAGGATATTCTGTGATTCTCTGACTTGTCCAGCTGAGCCAGTGTCCAAGATTTCCCTCAGGGAAAGGACATCCTGTCTTTTTAACCTCCCACACTGGCAACTGGGACTTGTCAAGGTGACTTGGTAGGGGAAGGTGGAAAGAAGAAGAGAGGTGACCATTTGTTACCAGCACAAGATAAAAGCAGAGACCTTCCACCCCCAGGCTGGTAAAAAAGGCTGAAAGCAAAGTCTCATGTCCTGGGTTTCAGGTACTTTGTGTCCCCTGAGGTGGTCACAGCCCAGAGAACTTGGACTGTGCTTCCTAACAAAGGGAGTTTAGATGAGGTCTCACAGCCCAGGAGACTTCATTTTTCTTCCCAACCTCTCACTTGGAAAATTCCTGCTCCTCATGACCTCTTCCTTTAGGAGCTGTTTTAATAAACCATCCCCAGATCCTTCTCCTCGTGGTTCACCTTTTGCCACAAAGATGTCATGGGCTTTGACCATCCAAATATCACTATCCTCCTCAATATTCATCTTTTGCCAGGAATTTCCTGGTTTGAGGAGAATTGGATGGTATTTAATGGTCAGACAAATTAGAGCATCACCACTGCTCAGATTAACTGGGCAAGATGGTCTTGTTTAAGTGGTGCTTCCCCAGTGCAAAGAACACTGGAAAAAATGGAGGTTTTCCTCAGCTTTGGGACTTGAGCTTGATTAACAAATGCTTTTCAACAACATATTATTATTATTATTATTATTATTATTATCATTATTATTAACCTTGTATTTGCAAGGTGTCCCTGAGAGCAGCCCTGCCCTCCCCTCTGTGTTGTCACAGAGTGTGTTATCAGCGAGGTGGCTGAATTTTAGTGACAAGTGACACAACAAGTATGCAGCCACTGCAGGTCTCTCAGGCCCTCTGGTCTGAAAAACACCCTGCAAACAAAAGAGAGAGAAAATAATGACCTTTTTTACCCAGTTGGGTGATGACTTTCCTCACGGAGAGCACGGAAGGCCTCTTGTCTCTCACACCCAGAGCACTGGTATTAATAAACCTCCCTTTGATATTTCTTTTTTTTTTTTTTCCCTCTCCTTGAAGTAAATATGTCAGGAGATGTCAGAATCGGGGAATTTTGGTAAGGCAGACCCGTCATCTTGAGGGAGAGAATTTGTTTTCTATTATTATTTCCCTCCCTGGGGAACAACATCTTTGCGTCACCGGCAACAGCTGCATTTAACCAACGTTTGGAAAGAGGATCGTGGGCTGGCTCCAAGCAGAGCAGCACCAGAGCAGATGCAACCAGGAGAAATGTGCATTTAGAGGGAATCAGGAGGGGGGAAAAAAAAAAATCTGTCTGTGACTATAAATATATAGATTTGCTGCTCTCCCTAGAAATAGGGCTGTAACTATAGATAGAGGTACAGATACACCCCGAAATAAACCCCCCCAGATGTTTGTTTGGGTGGGGAGTTTTCTCCTTTTAGCCACTGTGGGAGGATTGGCAGACTGAGCAGAGCAGCAAACAGAGGGCCCCAGAGCAGGTTTGTGTCCTGCAGGGGATGGACAGGATGGTTCCAGCAGGAGCAGCAGAGGAACCACCCTCTGGAATGTTAAAGCCATCAGAGCCCCAGGATTAACAGCCTGAGGGAACAACTGCTCCTGGGCTGTGTCCCGAGGGAAAAGCAGCTCTGCTGGAGGACTCTGGGTTGACAGCTCTGGAGATTGGTGTCCACTCTTAGCCTGGAGTGAGCCAGGGAAGTGTCTCCTCAAATCCCTTCCAGACAGGATCAAATGTAGAGGGACTAACTGTCTGCAGGTGTCCAACACCAAGTTGGACAAGGCTTGGAGCAACCTGGGGCACTTGAAGGTGCCCCTGCCCATGGCAGGGGTTGGGACAGGATGATCTTTGAGGTCCCTTCCAACCCAAACCATCCTGGGATTCTGGGACCTCCTGGACACAGTCTGAGCCAACTGTTTAGCCAAGGTCAGGATGAAGTTTTGTGGAAAGGTGTCTCAGCAGCTCCTCGTGGGAAGACGAGACAGTTTTCTTCGTGCCTTTGAGCACAAAGCCACCTCTGCACCACCCTCTGTGTGTTCCCTCACATTATACTTTTAAAATAACCCTCCCCCAGCCCAGTAGAGATGGTGGGAAAGCTCCTTCTCCCACTGCTTCCCCAAGAGAGGTGCCTGGGCAACCCCCGCCCCAGCTGCACCCTGGACCTTCACAAGGTGCCTCTGAACTGACAAGCTGAGGGATCTGTGGCTTCCCAGCCCACCCCCTGAGCTGGGAGCTCTGCTTGGCTTGTTTTCCATCTGGTGTCTGAGGAGGAGCAGGAGGAGCAGGGAAGGAAGGGATGGCTTGGCTGGGCTTCCCTCTCGGAGGCGCTGGGGTTAAACTGCAGCTGTTTGTCCCTCTGCTGCCTGTTCCACGGGGCTGAAGCTCTGCTGAGCTTTGGGAGAGGGTATCCAGGACTGCTCCATGAGCACTGCAGGGTGGGCACGGGGGGGGGATCTGTATCACAGAGTGCCAGGATGGCTGGAGTGGGAAAGGAGCTTAAGGATCATCCAGTGCCAGCCCCTGCCATGGGCAGGGACACCTTCCACCGGCCCAGGGTGCTCCAAGACCCATCCAACCTGGCCTTGGACACTTCCAGGGATCCAGGGGCAGCCACAGCTTCTCTGGACAATCCATTCCAGTCCCTTCCCACGCTCACAGCCAGGAATTCCTTCCCGGTATCCCACCTAAATTTACTCTCATCTTGAAGCCATTCCCTGTGTGCTGTCCCTCCATCCCTTGTCCCCAGTCCCTCTCCAGCTCCCCTGGAGCCCCTTTAGGCCCTGCCAGGGGCTCTCAGCTCTCCCTGGAGCCTTCTCTTCTCCAGGGGAACCCCCCCAGCTCTCCCAGCCTGGCTCCAGAGCAGAGGGGCTCCAGCCCTCAGAGCACCTCCGTGACCTCCTCTGGATTTACTCCAGCATCATATTTATTCCATATTTATTCTGTTCTCACACTCTTCCGTAAGCATCTCTTCCTGGATGTGCAGGAGTCAGGGATCGGAGTTAAAAAGACCTTTGGCCTGGCCCAGGTTGGCTGTTCTCCTTTCTTTCTTTCTTTCCTAGATTCCCTTAAAAGCAGGAGTGAGGGTGACCTGTGTTCTTGGAGCTCCTCAATCTTTAGATAAAATGTGGCCCAGATGAGAAGTGATGAACCTCTGGCAGCTTTTGAGGCCGTTTCCCTCCAAAAATTGTATCAGCCCTCTGACTCTGACCCCCTCCCCTTCCACACATCCAGCCCAAAGAGCATCTCCAGGATGACCATTTTCCTGGTCACCTTTTGGGACGCTGCCAGGAGTCAGTGGCGTATTTTGGCCAAAAAGCAGAAACCTCCTTCGTCCCCATCTCCCCCCACAGCAGCACTGCTGCCAAACTCATCTATTTTTAAAGCAGGTCCAACCCAGCCCGTTTTCAGGGATGAGCTCGAGGGTAAGCGCCATCCACATCCACGGAAATCAGGGAGAAGGGGGATCCGAGCCAGCAACTTGGGAGGTTGGCTCAGCTTGGAAACCACCAGCAAGAGGGACCGTCGTGAGACGTAACCTCAGCCCACCAATCCTGTCTTCATGTGCTACTGCTCGGTTAGAGCCTGGTGCTTTTACTGCTTCCAGGGAAACCAGAGAGGCCTGGAGACTCCATCCCACCCCCAACACAATGGGCACAGCCCAGCGTGGGGCAGGCCTGCTTTATCCAAACTCCATTGTCCCACCAACAATCCGCCGTGTTCCCGGGGCTCTCCGGGGGCCTTTGAAAAGCAGACAGCTTTTGTGAGGCCCCCGAGCCCCGTTTGCGGCGTGGACAGGGAATTATCCCGGGAAATGCCAGCCAAGGGGCAGCCCTTTGCACCAGGATAGAGGGGCAGAGCTTTGAAAGGCTGTTTAGGAGTGAAAAAAAAAAGCCTCCTGGAGAGGTTTTCTTCACTGCTGCAGCCACCCTGTGGTGTCCCTGCTCGTTCCGTGCCCACAGAGCGGGGCTGGGAATAGAATCGGGGAATCCTGGAACGCTTTGGGTCGGAAGGGGCCATAAAGATCACAAAGACGGGCATGTTTACACATCTAAGTTGGGGTGTCTTAGTCTAAATTGGGGTGTCTGAGTCTAAATTGGGGTTTAGACTGGTCTTATCTCGGAGCTGATCCCGCTCTTTATCCAGACTGGGAGGATTTAAGTGCCCGGCACCTCTAGGGATGAAGGGAACAGAATCCTCCAGCCAAAATTCCTGTTCAACCCTCAGTGTTTTCCCCGAGGCTTTGGAAATCAGTGGCTGGTTTGTGCCTTTTGTGCACGTCCCATTAAGCTTTTTATTTAGTCACAGCTTTGCTGTAAAAAAAAAAAAAAACAAACCAAAAGGCAAGAAAAGCAAACCCAGAGGATTTCTGGCTTTGCTTATCGCTCCAAGCAGTGAAACACTTCCCCTGCTGATTCCAAACGTGTCATTAACAATGTCTGAATCAGCAGCTTGGAGAAACTTTGGAGATACTTCATCTGGAAAGCCCTTCCTTGTGATTCCATCCTCCTATCCCGCTAATCCCAGCCTCCAGCAGAGCCTGCCAGTTCCTCAAAGGATCACTGGATCCAGTTCAGCTCCACGAAAAAAGAGGGTGCAGAATTTTGCTGTTGTCTCACAAATAAAAAGGAGGGAAGGATAAAGTCAGGCCCAGGGTATCCACAGTAACACTTGGAATAGGATCTACCATCAGTCTTGTAGAAAACTCCTGTCTCAGTCCCTCCCTGGGACACTGGGAGGGACCAGGACACGTGGACACCAAAACCCTGAACGTTTCATCCAGATGCTGGAACAGAGATGAGGTTTAGGCCTGGAATTAGATGAGATGTCCCCAGGTTTGGGAGACAACTGCGTGGGAATTGCAGATACAATTCCTGGGACCTTCAGGAAACTCCTCCCATTCTGCAAGAGCAGCTGGAAGCCAAGCAGGACACTTGGGGGGACTAAAATGACCTGAGACACGTGGAGGGGCAACTGGGGTCGGGCTCTGCTCCCAGGGAACAGGGGACAGGAGGAGAGGAAACGGCCTCAGGAGGTTCAGGTTGGATATTGGGGAAATTCCTTCCTGAAAAGCCCTGTCCAGCCCTGGCACAGGCTGGAGTCCCCATCCCTGGAGGGATTTAAAAGTTGTGGGGATGCAGCACTTGGGGACATGGGTTGGACTCAGGGGGCTTTTCCAGCCTCAATTCTATCATTCCATGGATGGATGGAGTGAGCAAAGGGGGATGTTCAAGGCCATCAGCTCTGAAGCTGATGTTCCCCAATCTTGGGGCTCTGTTATGGGTTTTATAATATTTTACTGAAAATCCCAACCCCTGGAATCCCAGATGTTGAAGTTTTGTCCTTCTGGTTTTCCCTTAGTTTATTTTCAGCTTTTCCTGTTTTCCAGAGCACTTGTGTACTCAGGTGTCCTCAGATGAAGGAATCAAATTCATAGGATTATGGATTCCTGGGTTGATTTGGGTTGGGAAAGACCTTAAAGCTCATCTCATTCCAACTCCCTGCCATGGGCAGGGACACCTTCCACCAGCCCAGGTTGCTCCAAGCCTTGAACACTTAAATTAAGTGATAGTTAAATTAAATTACACCGGTTAAAGCATCACACTTCTTAAACCAGGGTCTTAAGGTGTAGCAAGGCCAGATTTTTGCCCCTTCCAACAGGTCAGGAGATGACCAGTGATGGTCAGTGTGTCCTCAGGGTGGATTTCTGGGAGCCATCAGAGCTCCTCCTGGTCTCAGAAGTACTGAACTGGAGACTGTGGAGGTCCAGGTTGTGTCCATGGCTTGGCCATCCCGACCTTTGTGGCCTTCTGGGAATGATTTCCACTCGTGTCCCTCTCAGCTCCCGGCAGAGGGATCTCAGCCCGTAGAAGTGGTTGTTGCAGCTGGCAGATGACTTGATATTTTGTCACCTGGAGGACCTTCCCTGACTCAGCATCGTGGTTCCCACCCAGCTGGGACCTCCCTCGTGCTGGATGAGTGCTACTGGAATTGCCTGGAGGGATTTTTCCCCCTCTGGAGCAGCCGAAGGGAAGCCCAGCCATCCATCCCAGGCTGCCTCCTCCAACCTCCCCCCACTGCTGCTCTTCCCAGGCAGCCACAAATCCCCCTTCACCCTCTGAACTCCGACTGGCTCCCCTCCCTCTCCCCCACCCCTGCCAAGGGATGGAGGTCCCTAAATACCACTTTGTCCCTCCTGGGTAAATCCAGGGCAAAATGGTGACTCCTGAGGCAAACTCCTGGGAACGGAGCCTGTTGGAGAACCTCAGACATTTGCTCCTGAGGCTTTTCCCTGAGGATCTAAGCGGCCCATGCAGAGAATCCCCTTTCCCAGAGGAGGATTTGTGCCTCCTCCATCGGCGGGATTGGACACCAGCGTGCTGGGAGCCGTGGATCTGTGTGTCCTGGCACCTCTCACTCCTCACCCTTCCAAAGAGAGGCCCTGTGGTTAATCAGAGGAATTAACCACAGCCTCCCAAAACGTCCTGCCAGCCAATCAGGAGGCTCTTCCCAGGGCCATTCCTGCTACAACGCCATCGTTGTCCGGCAGGAACGTGGATCTTCCCAGTTAAATTTCTCAGTGGGGCTCAGGGACCCTCTTGTCCCCCCTCACAACTGCTGGATTCCCAGAAATCCTAAACTTGGAGCAGGATTTTATTATTATTATTATTATTATTATTATTATTATTATTATTACTACTACTATTATTTTCATTCTGGAGGCAAATGTTTTCCAGCTCAAAGAGGATTCCAGCTTGGCAGCAGGAAAATTCCTCTTTTTCCCCCAAAGCTTTCAAATCTACTCCCATTGGCTTTTCAGTGCCTGCTGCCTGCACAGACAGATATATAGAGAGATATATATATAAATATATATATATATAAATACGCCCAGACACACACACTAAATTAATATTGGCAAACACTCCACTCCGCCAGTGGAAACCACAGAGAAACATTCCCATATCTGGGGATTCTGATGTCATGGGGCTGAGGTTTCCCATTCCAGGCCAGCATTTCAAACCTCCAATCCCAACCAGGGCTGTCATTCCGAGCCCAGTGTTCCTGCATCCCGGTGGGTGGGGTGAGGGAAAGGCGGGAGGCAAAGGAGGAGGGAGAAAGATGCTGAATTGCTTCGTTTCTTTGGGGTTTATTTCTAATTTCAGGCAGTTCAAGGCAGTACAAACTGGGCTGGTGGCAGGAATTTTAACCCTTTCCAGGTGGATATTCAGGAATCCCTGAGTTCAGCTGCACGTCCCAGCGCAGGATGAAGGGAAAACATCTTGATATTTAATGGAAACCTCAGGGTTTCTAAGCCCAGCTTTAAAACACAGAGAGCCAAGAGAACTAAAACCTCTCAGAGGATTAATTCCTACGAGCTCTCCTGTGACAGGACCTTTTCCAACAGTCCCTTGGCAAGCTCAGGTTGTGTCTGGGTTGGATAACCACAAGCAGAGGCTGCTTTGGATTGGAAAAAGGGGAAAAATAAATGCAGGTGATTTTTTTTTCCTCGTATCCCAGAGCCAAAGTTTATCCTGCCCATGTTTTCTGGGGTGGGCTGGACCAGCATCAGTCAGCAATGGCTAAATTGTACAATTCCAGCCAAAATCCCGGGTTCATGGGCATTCTGTCCAAGCCAAGGTTCTGTCCTCATGGAGATCCAAGCCATCTCTGGATGGGGCTGAGAGTTTGTAAAGCGCTTTGGGTTCCTTTGGGATGAAAACGCTGCAGGGAACTCCCAGGCGAGGGATTAACCCACGCGAAAATCCCGCCCTCCCAGGAAATCCCGTCAGGAAATCCCGTCAGGAAACACAACCAGCCCTTCCCAGGGTGCTCAAAGGCTGTGACTCCCGAGGATTCCCAGCCCCGGGGGTGTCCGAGTGCCCCTGTCCCCCCGTCAGGAGGCCGCGTTCTAATGTGACGCTATTTTTTCCATCGTTTCTGCTGCAGGAGGTCTTTGATCGCCTCTATTTGATTTATACTGTTGGATACTCCATCTCTCTGGGATCCCTCACAGTTGCTGTCCTTATCCTGGGATACTTCAGGTAGGCGGCTCTGGTTTTACCTAAGGGAAAAAGCCTCGGGCTCTCCCACAGGATCAGGTTGGGGTGGCAATTCCAGGAGCGGTTCCATCCGGGATTTGGGCTGTCTTAGCGTCGCTCAGGTCAAACTTCCTGGGGGATGGTGGGTGGGGTCTTTGAACTTCCTCCTCTTCCCCACAGAGGAGTTTTCCAGACCCTCTGTAGCAAACGGGAGGAGGGGAATCTCCAGGAAGAGGTTGGTCCCCCCTGGAAAACCCTCTGGGGTTTTTTGCCCCTATTCCCCGCCCGGCTCAGATTTAGATGGTAATATTTTGAGGTAGTTATGGTTTCCTCAGGGAATTTGGCACTCCAACCCCAAATATCCATGAAGGATAAAGCAGCTGAAGGGAACCCCAGCCATCCCAGGCTGATTCCTCCAACCTGCCCCCGCTGCTGTTCCCAGGGAGCCAAAAATCCCCCTTCACCCTCCTGACTCTGGTTGGTCTCCCCTCTGCCAAGGGATGGAGACCCCTAAATACCTCTCTGGACCCACAGCATCCATTCCTCAGAGCTCCTGCTGCATCTCCCATCCCTGGAAGCGTCCAAGGCCAGGTTGGAGCAACCTGGGAGAGTGGAAGGTGTCCCTGCCCATGGCAGGGGGTGGCACTGGGTGATCCTTAAGGTCCCTTCCAACCCAAAGCACTGTAGGATTCTGGGATTCTCGCTGGCACAGAGAGCGTGGGATGGGAGGGATGAAAGGTGTCACCACATCTGGGAATTTGGCCTTTGGGAAGCCATACCTGGAGAGCTGGGAATAGAGCAGGGGGCTGACTCCCAACCCCTGAGCCCCAGATCTGCTTCCCTTCAGTGTCTGGTC